TCTTCAAATTTCACTTGTATTATAACTTTCATAAATCATTTCATTTTCATTGTCGCTATTCTCATCAAACCCAGTTAAATACATTTCATCAATTATCTCTTGTTCATACTGTTGTATCGTTTTCTTCTTTATTAATAATTTCTTAAATATTAGTACATTATAATAGTAAAATAAGATTATATTCAAAGTTATTATACCGTATATTATTCAGACAACGTGGTACAACCATGTGTTTATATTAATATATATCACAACACGTAGTTTTTTTTTAATATTCAGATGAATTTTAACTTACCATTAATTATTTGTAACAATTATTAAATAACACAAAACACTAAATATTTCAATACAACAAACCGGTTGTATAGTCGCAGGAAAATGAGTTCTAACTTAAACGGCCTAACAGCATCTGCTTTCGACGTGCGCTCGACGCTCGACTTTTTTTAGAGCGCGGCTTGAGTGCAATCGGCAATCCCCACATGCTTCCATTTGAATCGGAACGCAAAGTACTCTTGGTTTACAACACTCCTGTTTAATCAATTTTCAATTATTTTGTTTGCTAAATATTTTGTTAAAAACTTTGACTTTTCTTCTAAAAGATTGGTTAATTTCAGCCCTTAATGTTGTTAATTGACGTAACAGTGATTTAAAAAAAAAAAGGACTAACTCGGCTCCTAATGGTCGCAGGACCTTTTTTTTTTAAAAAAAGTTGTTGTTTTTTAAAACCCGCCTTCCGAATATTTATTTGCCATTTAATTTAAACTAAATAGTACGGAGTTATTGTAAATGTTTATAAGCTTAAAAAGTTCTATTTATTGTTAAATCATTTTGTGTACATAAACGTAATTTTTTTTTAAACTTTTTTTTCCATAGGATATTAATATATGTCTCAACAAAGAAAATAAGCCCCGGATTATTAAGATCCATTCAGTCAAATTATCTGGACCGGCCTTAGAAATTTGTGCATTTTTCAAAAAATCTTATAAACAAATTAAATTGTTCAAAAACTATTCGACGGATCTAGCCTATCTTTCGCACACACTTCGAACACGATAAGGTCTTTAAGTTCAGATACATTTAAACAAATTTTATTCATTAAAAAAAGAGTAATTAACAATAATCAAAAACAGTGATTTTGCTTTGGTTATTATGCAATAACTTTTTTGTTTATTAACCGATTTTAATTTAGTATATCTCATTTTGTGTATTTTTTTTTTTCTCAACAACTTGTCTGTGGACGTCAAATCTCTAAATAGACAAGTTTATAAGTTATTACAAAATAATAATATTGACGTTTTAATTGTTTATTTGAAAATATTTCCACTAAAAAATTCATGAATCCCTAGATGAGAGTCTTTTTGTAATATCTCATACTACTTATTTCAACTGTCAAAACCCGTCTATACACTTGTGATGAGTAAAAACCTAACTTGATTGGCCTATTATTGTAATTGTTGCTTATTAAAAAACTTTAACATTTAAGTGCAAACCTCTGCGTGATTGGTATAAATATTTAATTAAAAATCCAAATGAATTACAATAGTTGATTTTTCCGACATCTCAGGTTAGTTGGCAGACTATTGCAGAGCATGACAAACGTGATTTCTATTTTGAGTAGGGACATGTTCCTGGATTATGTCTCTTAATATATTACTTTTAATCTTTCAGCGCGCGCACCTACATACATTGTATGACAATTTAATATAAAAATAGGGTACGCCACTGTTATTCTAAATTTAGTTGCTGCCTAACACCTTTATATTCTTGCGATGTTCCTTTAGGTACGATGTGACAGTTAAATTTGGTTGATTGGATACTGGATGTAGTTGTTGTGAAACTTCATCTATGACAAAAAAAAATAACATGGTAAAAGACCAGTCTGGCCCGAAATATCAATAATGAGTAAGAAGCCTTTTTGAAAATAATAGACACTAACTTGATCGACAATATTATATGTTGCAATGGCGTATTTAGGGTTGCTGATTTTGAGTGGGATAAAAAAATCTGATATTGCAAATGTCACACAAATTTGGGTAAGCGACGGAACAGGAATTGAGATAACGAGGGCTGTTATGAGTTACAAAAAACAACTTGCTTGAGATTTAAATGATCGCACCATCAGATGTGAGCGCCGCAAAATTGACTGCATCCATGACTTTTTTGATGCATTTGTGACCAATATTCAAACATCCTTGAAACTTATTGTATTACGTTACAATCGACGAAATGCTTCACTCTTTTCGAGGTCGTCGCTATGATGAAGCAAACCCGGAAAATACGACATTAAAATGCAAGCTTTATGAGATGAAAAGAAATATCATACTTCAAATTTAAAAATATATTGCGGCAAACAGCCCGATGATCCGTACGTTACATCCAACTCACTTCTTAGTTACTTTCCTTCGTTTGCTTTGGCCACGGTCCACGTTTCGCATCCGTATGTTATTACAGGTCTGACGATGGATTTATAGATTGATCTTTGAACTTCTTGTGAGATTTTTTTGGTTTTATGAGCTTATCCAGTGCAAATAGAGGACGGTTTGCAGATTAGATTTTGTCTTTTATTTCTTCAGTGACATCGTTGTCAGCTGTGATTACGGCCTCCAGATACTTAAAACGTTGTACTCTTTCGAAATTGAAGCTGTTGACCATGACATTTTGTCCTATTCTGTCTATTCGTGTCGTTCTGTTTATACACATATATTTCGTCTTCTCTTCATTAATTTTCAGCCCTACTTCACTTGTTGCTCCTTCCACCTTGTTGAAAATGTCTTTCGTGGATAGGATGAAGTCTCCAACGAGATCTACGTCATCTGCATATGCGAGTAACAGCTTGAGACCTTGAACCGATAGCAATTCTGTTTTTATTTTCGGCCGACCTCATGACTTTCTCTAATACAAAGTTAAAAAGTAGTGGAGATAACGCATCACCCTTGGACCCTAAGTCCACTGTTGATTTTGAAGCTGCCAGACAGTTTATTATTTACACGTACTTTAGATATTCCATCCTCCATACAGACTTTGGTCATCCGAATAAGTTTCTTTGGTATTGAGAACTCCGCCATGGCATTCCATACTTGGCTTCTTTCTACGCTCTCATTTACCTGTCTAAAATCTATGAAGAGATTGTGTATGGGTCTGTTATACTCACATCCCTTTTCTAGAAGTTGTCTCTGCGTGAATAGTTGATCTAATTGTTGATCTGTTTGCCCTAAACCTGGCTTGATATTCGCCTAGGACATTTTCAGCATAAGGGATTAGTCTACTAAGAATGATGTTTAAGACGGTTTTATATGCCGTGTTTAGAAGTGAGAATTCCTCTATAATTCGCGCATTTTGTTTTGTCCCCTTTTTTGTCGATGGGCACTATTATGTTCCTTCCATCGTACTGGTATTCTTTTCTTCTAACCATATGTGCGTTATTTTATTTATATATTCGTATATTTTCAGACCTCACCATGATATCACCACAAACAAGTATAAGATCAGAACCAATATCGAATTAAAAGCACTCTACAACGACGCCGATATTGTACAAGAAATTAAATGACAGCGACTAAGATGGGCAGGTCACGTGCACAGACTGCATAACGAAAGACTTGGAGAAAGGAAAGGTATGGGAAGAGATTCCCACAGACAAAAGATAACTCGGACGTCCCAGAATGCGATGGAGAGATAACATCCAAGCAGATCTCCGGAAAATGAACATTCCATTTGACCCTAGGTTAATGGGAGACCGAACAAATTGAAAAAAAGTTGTACAGTCAGCCAAGACCCACCCAGGGTTGTAGCGCTACGTGATGATGATGACGACTACTTAACTAGAATTCTGAAAAAAAAAAATAAATCGAAAATTCCTGCAGAATTTTTACCAAACAAGGAAAAAGTTAGTAAAAGTTCACAAGGAATCTACGTTCCTGTAGTTGGCTGTATACCATGTATTAAAAATTTAATTAAAAATCCTTTGTAAAAGGTATATTTTAGTAAAATATACCTTTTACAAAGGATTTTTAATTAAATTTTTAGTAAAAGTTGTCTTTTTGGATTTCAAAAAGACATGATGCTCGTGTCTTTTGTGCTTTACTTTACACGATAATGACGAAAATTTATCCAGACAGTTAAAAACTTTAAATAAATATTTACTATAATGCAACTAAGCTGGGTGTTAATACGGTGGACAAAATGTGTGCAACATATTCAGCTTCTCGCATCTCTAGGAGATGGCATTGTGTTATATGTTACAGTTTATTAAACATAAGTGGAATAAATGCCCAAGGTTTATATACATTTTCGTGTCCTGATAATTGCCAAAACAACCGAAGAATTTATTTGAAAAATTTGTCGCTGAGTCTAATGAAAGAGCACCCTCTTTCAAGGGCTCAGCTAAACTACTTTCCCTCAGATGTAGGCCCATTTCTAAAAGACACATATGTACAAACTGTAAGTGAACACAAGGATACAGTTCGTCTGCCAAAACGTGGAGTTTGTCGTTCTGTGACACGGAAAGAAAAAGGACAACGCGTTAGATGCAATTCTTTTACTTGCAAAAAACATTTACTTACTACAGTTATGTGTAAATCCTGTAATAAAAACAGTCAGAATTAGTTTTTAAATAGTTTAAGTACATTGATTTATTTGTTTGCATAAACTAAAAAGTAAAAGTGTAATTTATGTTTTATTTGTAAAATTTGCAAATAAATAGGTTTATTCATTACATGTTTAATGATTTACATTCAATAAATATGCGATAACTCACATTTATCCAAAATAAATAAAAAATATGTCACTCGCGCTTTGATGTAAAAAATATGGCGCTAGAGCTAAAAGGTTAATTAAATAGTTTGCCACAATCAAATAAATCAACTATTGTAATCAATTTGGATTTGGATATTAAAGTTTTTAATTAATATTGTATACATCCAACTCCCGGAAACTTTCTTGTTTTGTTGCTTATTATTTATAATACTACCTATAACTTTAATAAATTATTGTTCACAAACCTATGCAATTTCTATCTCCAGCACTAAAAGGTATATACGAATACGGATGCCTTTTTGAAACATTCTCGAATAAAAATCTATCCGCATCAAACTTTTCGGGATTCTCCCAATATTCTGGTCGATGATGCAAATCATAAATATTAATACGTATGTTGCATCCCTTTGGTATAGTATATCCGGAACTTGTTGTTATATCTTCCCCTACCACTCTAGAAATAGTTGGAGCAACTGGAAATATTCTCAAGCATTCTTTTAAACACCTGTCCATATATGGAAGCTGTGCAAGTTGAGAGAAGGATGGCTCATCAGTATTTCCTACCACAGTTATCATTTCTTCATAAATTTTTTCCTAAAATGTATTTATGGTTAGAATATAGATTAACCCTAAAAGTTGAAATGATTTTGAGACAACAGATGAAATATGGGGAATGTAAGATAAGCTGGAATCGAACACAACACCTAGGTCTTGTGACCTCAATATGAGATACGGAGTCTATAGGAAAACCATTAATAGTATAGATATGATTTGTAGAAGTTTATTCCGACCAAAAATCATTAAATCACACTTTTTAACATTAAGCTACATTCCGTTGCTGTCACACCAATAGCTCAACCGACCAAATAAGACTGTAGTTTTTGATAGTCACCATCACTCTCAATTTTCAAATATAATTTTAAATCATCAGCAAACATAAGGAAAGCAGCAAAGAGGAAACAGGAGGCAATGTCATTAACATAGTTATTAAATAGAAGAAGTCCTAGGTGTGATCCTTGTGGTACTCCTGAAAGTACCTTAATCTCAAACGATTAACAAAAAACAACAACCATTCTAAAAGTTTACCCTGGATACCCAGACTCCTCAACTTATTGATTAAAATCTTGTGATATACCCGGTCAAACGCCTTTGTAAAGTCTGTGTATACAGCATGAACCTGAAAGCCATCTTTAAGAGATTCTATAAGGAAATCAGTAAATGTCAATAAATTAAGTTCAGTGGAGCGGCTAGAAAAAAAATCCAAATTGCTGAATAAAGTGGCAGCACGGGTTCGGCGTATTTTCCCATGTAAAATCCCATAAGAAATCGTTAAGGTCCATTCTGCTCAATTTTGTCTCACTTTGTGGTGGGGGTAAAACGGCTCGTCGAATCGTGACGTGTAGGGTATCGTTGGAAAGCGGAGGGAACGGGGAACACGTTGAGATAAAAATCAAACGCAAAGACATTGCCAAAACGGCGCTATATCGTATCTCCGTTGTTATTGGTTCGATTGTGACGTACACGGGCTCGTTGTAACGGACCTTTGACCTCAGTCACAAGCCTCGTATGTTCAAGACCTGTTGAGGACCTGTTCAAAACCTGTTCAAGACCTGTTCAGGACCTGTTCAAAACCTGTTCAAAACCTGTTCAAAACCTGTTCAAGACCTGTTCAAAACCTGTTCAAGACCTGATCAAGATCTGTTCGAGACCTGGTCGAGACCTGATTTAAAGCTGATTGATCATATACCTACATTTTACAAATAATAAAGATTTGAAAAGATAACTTATAATGAAACATAGAAACATCTAAAGTATATTGAGACAACTCAAACAAGGACAAACGATAAAAGAAGTCTTGATCAGGTCTTGAACAGTCTTGAACAGGTCTTGAACAGGTTTTAAACAGGTTTTGAACAGGTCTTCAACAGGTTTTGAACAGGTTTTGAACAGGTCTTGAACAGGTTTTGAACAGGTTTTGAACAGGTCCTGAACAAGTCTTGAACAGACGAGGCTTGTGACGTCAGAGGTCAAAGGTCCGTTACAACGAACCCGCGTACGTCACAATCGGACCAATAACAACGGAGATACGATATAGCGCTGTTTTGGCAATGTCTTTGCATTTGATTTTATCTCAACGTGTTTTCTCGTCCCCTCCACTTTCCAACGATACCCTACACGTCACGATTCGACGAGCCGTTTAACCCCCACCACAAAGTGAGACAAAAATGAACAGAATGAACCTTAGCGATTTCTTATGGGATTTTACATGGGAAAATACGCCGATCCCGTGCTGGCCCCTTTACTTTGCTGGTCGATAAAACAGCCTTTTAAAGTTGCTGACAAATAGTCACAGATAAGGCTCGCAAGAACTTGGGAATACAACTTAGAATGCTAATATGCCAATAATTGTTTACTTGAGAATCATCTTCAGATTTTAGTATTGGGGTAATAAAGCTAGCCAGTAGACCGGGAACATCCTGTCTTTAATGACAGGTTAAAAATGTGAAAAAGAGGTCTAGAAAGTAAAAAGCTAAAGTGTTTAAGAAAAGAAGGTGGAAGACCATTTAGGACCTAGCCCCTTGTTGCTATCCAAAGTGGAAAGTTTTTTATACATAGACGAAATAGAAATGCTAAATTTTGATATGTTTATGTCTCCTGTTAAAAAGGTTTCATCCTGCAAACCAAAATCTTTATATTACTATAAGTTTTGGAAAAGTATTCAGCAAATAATTTGAGAATCTCCATGTCAGAAGAGTCAGAAATATTATTATAGTGCAAAACAGAAGGAATGTTATTCCTGTTTTTTTTACTGTTAACAAATTTTCACACAAATTTTTAACATTATCTTTCAGAGAGGATTCAGTTTAGAACAACATTATCAAGATAGCATTGTTCTTTCAGTTGTTTACATTTACAGTTATCTCGTAATACAGAAAACTTATTATAGTCAGCAAGTAATTGAGATTTGAAACATTTTTTATGCATTTCCTTTTTTTTATTATTGTTTTTTTAAGCTCTGGAAAAAATCAGACAGGAAACATGTTTGCTGAATAGTTTTTCAGGGGACCAAAAATATTAATTTCTAGGTAAATAGCATCATATAGCATGATGATCATATCATCAAGACTTTTAACTTTAAACAAATCATCCCAGTTAAATTGTAAAAGAAAGTTTGTTACTTTCCGTACACTCATTGAATGAAAGTCTCTATAAAAACAATCTCCAATCAATTCTGGCTCATTAAAATATTTTTAAATATTGAGATTCACATTTAAACCCAAATTAGAGTGGAGGATGATGCCTATCCTCTGTGAGTAGGGTACTCTCAGCTCTAGTTACCTCAACCTCTTCATCTTGGACCACGATTGGACTTCATAAGGAGTTGTTTTCGTTTTTAACAAGGTTTACTTGATACAGATTAAAAAAGGAACATAAAAATGAGAGGAATTGAATGGAATAGACTTCATTTGGTGAGGTTCCTGGTAATGGAGTAGCCACAGAAGACAATCCATCAATAGACCACTGACAATTGGGAAGATTAAAATCTCCCAGGATACATAACTTATATTACTTAAATACTTTTCACCTAGATTATCTACATTTTCTGCAAATTCGACATACTTCTCAATGATACTACGTGGTGGAAAGTAGGCAGTTGCAAAGATAAAGTTGTCGATGTGGCCAATCTCAATTTTGAAAAACAGATGAAAAACAATATTTTCAGTCGCTGATAAACGAACACTGGTTATGGTATCCCGGACAGCTATAAGCTCTCTTCCACCTCTTTTGAAGGTACTTGTTTCTGAGGATCTATCTCTTCCATATATGTTGTAGTCAAACACTTGCAGTTCGGCGCTCTTAATGTCATCTGTTAACCATGTTTTATTAAAAACTAAAATATCATATTGTAAGTAAGAAGTATTTTTAAAACAGTAGCTGAAGTTTTGTACGTAACCCTCTGACATTCTGAAAATACACCAGCGCTTTTGAAGTCTTGTTTGAGGGTGCTTTGAACCTAGTAGATATGTTTAGTTTTTTCGTATTACCTTTATCACACCAATAACATATTTCAAAATGAGATCGGATTCACCCGTACGCTGTCTTTTTTTTAACTTATTTTTCAGTGCATTTACCTTAACTCGTTGTTCAGTAGTTAAATCAGCTTCCAGTAATACTTTTTAAAGCTCTATCCAAGTCCCTCTTGTTTCTCAATAGCAACCGAACCAATGGTTTTTACCCATTTTTATTTCTTTAACCAATTTTAGTAGAACTGAATATTAGAACCAGCTAAGCCCGATATCATTTTTCTTCGCTTTAGATGTGTCATCTTCCTCACCATCTTGAGGCATATTAAAATTCATAAGATTGCAAGATCTCTTTTGTCACTCAGACACTTTATACAAAACACTGCACTATTGGTACCGTGCACCAATGTGGACCTGTAATTATTGTCGTTTTTTGTATTTGATCTACAGGTGGTATTTTATGAAGGTAAGATCTTTCTCGTGGTATACGAATATCACGAATATATATTTTTAAAACTCCTCCATTTTTTGACAGTTTGCAATTTTGATTTTACTTAGTGTATCTTCAAATGCTTTTACACGGTTGTTAAGTGTAACTGCCTTTCTGATTATTGGCACGCAGTCACAATACAAATATGGCATAATTTGGGTGACCAGATGTAGATACCTTATTTCTGTCGAGCTAATTCCAGTGCAGTTTTTGCATAAAACAATAATAAATTATAAATGTCACAATGGTAACCAAAATATCCTTGTATTTTTATTAGGTTCTTTAAAACACAGTTCCTGGAAAATTTGCCACATGTTCCTGTCATTTTTTAAGGTTGTCAATAAATGTTTAACAGAATGTCAACTGCAAGCCCTGTAATAAAGACCGAGGTTGAGACTTGGTCTTTTATTATTAGGCTTTATATCCGATGCGTAGTAGACAGTAAAAAATTCATCCTTAGATCATCAGACCAAAACTACGGTTTTAAACAATTTGTTTTCCCAGTATGTACTTATGGTACAAAAATTAACACTTACTGAGTAATTCAGAATGCCATAAAGTAATGGATGTTAGGAATAACGTAGACAAAATAAGACAGAATTCTAAATTTGGAGCAAAATGAGTAAATAAATTAAATTGTAACTGAGTTGGATACACTTAAAGACACTAGAATTAACATTAAAGAACCAAAAATAGTAAACAGGGACAAATAGTTAACAAAATAAGGATACATGTCCTATAAATAAAAAGCTTACAACAGTATTATAGTATTATAATACTCGTTAATAACCTTAATCCAGATAATTGAACTTAAAGAACATATCTTAACGAAGAATCTTTAATTTAACCTATTGTACTATTTTTCAAGCTTTCCTTTTTGCCATAAAAAATATAAATCCAAGGATAAACTTACCTGTACTAAAGGTTCATTAGCTAATAACAACAGAGCATGACAAAGTGCGTTAGCAGTGGTATCATGTCCCTAAAAAATTGATAAATATTATTTAAAAAATTATATTTTTAAGTTAGTTAGAATTTTCAATTCCAATAGTTTGGATGTAAAAATGATTTTTTCGAGTAGGGATTTATATTCCCGGTTGCTAATTTAATTTCATCGGCATATTGCCGCATAATTTAACACTTTCAGGTATGGTTTCTGATGTGTATTTAATTGTAAATTTCTGTGTTACTTGGCAACGTTGCGTTGGGCTGTCAACGGCGACAGTTGACAAGTAACCAATGAAATGGACGCAAGCTTTTTTCCATCTTTGTAATGTGTATTTGCTAATAAAGTAATCTAAGTACAATATAGTATTTATCACGGGCTTAAGCAAAACAGTTTCATTAATGTAAACCCAACCACTGTTTGGTTTTGCGGTTAGTTACGCAAGTATCACTCAAGATGGACTGACTAGTCAGAAAACGTTCTCAACTTTTAATCCATTTGGATTTTTAAATTTAATTTTATTAAAATATATTACTTACAACAGTCAACAATTATAGTACGTGAATGGGACAATTATTATTTAATTTATCTGAAACACATTTTACTATTCTAAAGCTTTCTTATAAATTTTAGCAATGAAGGGTAGTTTTAACCCTTAAAAAATAAAAAGCCCCCCATCGACAAAATATAGATTTTTAAGTAGAGGGTACATTGAACTTAATCCCACATTTTTATGCAAATCAGTCTTTTCCGAAAAATTTGCGAGGTTTTGTTCTATTTTAAGCTTCGTTTTCTAGACCATTCATTGATTTGATTGATTGATTTCAATAAATATTTGTTTTTATAGTATGTTAAAATTATTTCTATTTGTATTGTCCATGTGCGTAATTTGCTAAATAAAATAAATATTTTGTTATTTTAAAATATTCCCTATACTTACAGCAAATATAAATGTATTTACTTCATTTTTAATTCCTTCATCATCGATATATCCCCTGTTTAATTTTAGCAGAAAACATCAGATCTAACAGTCTCATCTCCTTATTAGACTTATAATTCTCTGAGTTTGGGTTGGCATTAAACGACTTACTTCTTTGACTAATCACACTTGAAGAAAAATCGTTGAGAACTTTTAAAACCTTTTGATATCTTTTACCAGAAGGACTCAGTTTATACAACCATGGTATTAGAAACCAAGGCCGGGCTATTCTGTATACAAAAGCCTCCCCGTAGTAATGGATAGCATTAAGGTAGTCCTCACGTTTAGTATCTTTTTGAAAATTTTGACCAAATGCTGTTTCTAAAAGAGACAAACATTAAACAATTTTAATCACAGACTTTTCTCTTAACCTATCTGTCAATAAGGGATCAGACATCACATCTAAGAGCAAAAAACAATACACCATTAGAATAGAATACACCAAATATATAAAAAGTAACAAAACTCCACATTAGATCCTACATCCTAATCAGATACACAAAATAATAGTAAGATCTTAAAATGAGGCACAAATCTCGAAAGAGTGGCGTACTGTAATTTCTTTCACCATTACACAAAAACGGATATCAATTGGAAGGCAGAAACTAAAGGAGTATATTCCTAACACATTATTCAAAATATTTTATTTAAAAATCCTTTATAAAAGGTAAAAATCCCAAGCTGCGCCAGAGAGACACTCTCTCCTTCATACTGTTCAATCTGGCTCTGGAAAAAGTAATACGTATGTCACAAATCACAACTACTGGTTCAATAGAACACATAGCAAACAAATTTGGTGAGTATTGTTGTATATCAGTTACAACAATACACACATTATTAAAACATTTCAGTAACTATACCTTTAACGATTTCACAACTATGATAATTAACAACACATTCTTTTTTTCTGAGGTCTCACCATGTGATATTGAGAATGCTATATCTTCCTTAAAATATACCAGCTCAGTAGGTATTGATCAAATCCACACTAAAATAATTAAATACATTTCTTCATATACATCTCCTGTTCTGTCTCACATCATCAACCTACCTGTCAAGGATGGCAAGTTTCCAAATGACCTTAAAACGGGAGTAGTTAGTCCAATTTTCAAAAAAGTAGATCCATGTTTGGTTGATAATTACAGGCCAATCACCGTAGTAAGTGTACTTTCTAAGATTATCGAAAAGTGTATTTACAGTAAAATGTTTAATTTTCTGAATAAATATGATATCTTAAATAAATGCCAGCATGGGTTTCTTCCTAATAAATCTACAGAGAATGCTTCTATTTCATTATTTAATTATATCCACGCTGCTTTGGATCGAAAAAGATATGTGCGTGCACTCTTTTTTGACTTAACTAAGGCTTTTGACTATATTGACATTGAAATTATACGGCATAAATTAGAAGCCCTTGGTTTTCGGAGTTATTTCTTGAACTGGTTTAGGTCATACTTACAACATCGTAAATTCCTAGTAAAGGTCGATAATAAGAAGTCATCTGTTTTTAATCTTGATCAAGGTGTACCGCAAGGCTCCGTATTGGGACCCTTAAGATTTCTTTTATATGTCAATGACTTGACAAATTTTTTAACTGCAGACCATACAGTTCTTTATGCAGATGATTCAACAATTGTAGTTGACGAGTAAACTGAAGTCAAACTCATATCAAAAATGAACTTTACTCATTCAAAAATGAACAGTAGTACAGGAATTTACAACCTGGTGTAAAAGAAACTCTTTAATGGTAAATCCAAAGAAAACTATTTGTATGCAGTTCTACTAACGCTGTAAGCCATTCTACGATTATAAAATCATAGTTAGTTCTGAGGAAATACTTTAGTATTCTAGAAAGTAATATGACATGGGAGGAAAATGTCATTAAAGTCTGCAAAACAATGAATAAGGGTTATTATGCGATCCTTCAGTTGAAAACTTAATTTAACATCAATCAATTGATAAGTGTGTATTATGCATTGGTTTATTCATATATGGCCTATAATGTTGTCTTGTGGGGAAACTCTAGAAACTCTTCTAGAGTTTTTATAACTCAAAAGAGAATTCTTAGATTGATATTCAGTATTGATAATAGACAATCCTGTCGTAAATATTTTATTGAACACAGGGTGTTAACTTTTCATGCTTTATATATTTATAAGTGTATTATTCACGTCAAAACTAAATTTCGAAATTTTACTCTCAACTCTGACTTTCATAATTACCCGACAAGACACGGAGGTTGATAAGCGTGTGTAAACACTCCACAACTCTCTTTGAAACTAGTCCTGATTTTGCAGGATCTAAATTTTACAATTGTTTGCCACTTAATATAAGAAATAAAAATAATATTCAAAAATTAAAAAATAAATTAAAAGCAATTATGCGTTTACAATCTAAATGATTATTTTGACTAATAAAAGACTACAGGGAATGAGGACCGACGGGTTCAGAGACGCTCTATATTGCATTTTTTTTATTTTTATATTAATCTATATTTTATTGATTTTGTTTTATGTAATTGTCCTTATTATATTATGTAATAATATAACTTGTTGATCATGCATTATGTACTATATGACTTGTCCTATATCACAATGTGATCCGATGGGATTAATAAAGAATATTCTATTCTATTCTATTCTATTCAACACGAGTATATAATAAATCAGTGCAAATGCTGATGATATCAACATTGTTGGGAGAACGGAAAACACTGTACGAGAGGCATATGTAGTATGTATTGACAGAATCAGCTACAAAAATGGGTTTAATGATAAACACCAACAAAACTAAGAAGAACGAAAAGAAAAAACGAAAATATGTTCTAAATGATTGTAAAAACCTGTAAATGTTTTTACGAATTATAAATATTTTTCTTAAACTAATGTTTGGAAATAGAGAAACTAAAGTATGGATATATTTGATAGATCCCAAATAGCCATTGTATAACAACTTACCTCCTATCGAAAATAAAGTAAATCTCGTAATTGGATCCCTTACATCGATGTACGGTTTATCACAGTTTCCTTTAAAATATTGAACAAGGCATTTCGTTTCTTTGTTAAAAATGTGCAGAAAATGCTCTAACATGTTAAAGTGAAAGGCAGAGTTTAATAATTTTCGTCTTTGGTGCCACATATCACCTGAAATTTTTTTTTTAAATAAAACTCTATTTCACTAATTGTTTCATCAGAGGAAAATAATTAAGAGTATTTTAATATTTATGTTAAATATATACTGAAGCTATGTTCGTGTGGCATTTTACAGTAATTGCTATTTAAATGGGAATAAGCCACAATTAAAGGTTAAAGTAAGCTTATTGACGTTCCAATTTCCACTTCGGAAATTCTTCTCAAAATACAAATATTAGTAAATTTCCGAAGTGGAAATTGAAACGTCAATAAACTTTTATTATTTAAATATTTAAATATTTTAAGAGGAGAGGGTAGATAATTTTTTTTGTATTAAGGACATGTTCCATTTCTGCCGTAAACAAGAAACTTTAAGAAGTTCTAACGAAAACGATCAATATACAAACAGAATATTTTGTCAGAATTAATTTTAATGAAATAAAGCAATGTTCTTTCTATACATGAAATAAAGCAATTAAATCATAAATTCAAACTTTAAAGTAAATTTCAGTTCAAGTTTTTAGTTTTTTTCTTTAAATGCCGGTATAATTGGCCATGACAAAATCGGATTCCAAAAATTCATTTTTTCTTCCGGGATGCATTCCAATATTTTCTTCAAGTCTTCCATTTTCTTGTTGTTAATTGGAAGTACAGTTGAATATGCTCTTCTAGTAGGAGCCTGGATTAGCTGTACTGCATTCGGTATTTGAATTCATCCATTATGAAGCCGCCGGTATTCATCTTACATTGAACCGTGTTAGGATTTTTTGATGATAAAGTCATTTCTCTGTATTGTGATATGGCAAAAGTTCTTTATTGGTTTCTTGAGACATTTTTGCCATACGAATCATCATTTAGGCAGGTTTTTTTTTTATAAAACTGTTCATAGTATAGCTGGTAACATCTTGAAGTACCTCCATTTGGTTTATTTCGCTTACCAATAATTCCTCTTGTGCGCTCCTTATTACAATATGCCACCTTCTGAACTCCAGCTTTCTGGCACTCCACTACTACAACTCCATACACATATCACCCTTATGTTTACCACACCCATTCTTTCCACAGAAAAAAAAGAGCACCCCTTTCTTGAAGGGACAGAAGCCTAAGCGGGGTAAAAATATGGAATCATCAAGAAGATCTGGGAAGAAAGTAAAAAAATAGTTAATGACAGTGGTAGAAGGAAAAACTACAGTGAAAGAACTAAAACAAATTAGACGAGGACGTCTATCTCCAACATAGAATCCTGGATAATCCGTAGGTTATCATGGATGCCAAATTTTCGAGATTGGTACAACTTAACGACTACAGAAATTTTTAGAGCAACAGTCAATAAAGTTAGAATAGGCATGCTGGAAGAATTCTTTAAGGAATGTAGAATCACGCTTAGTAGACAATAAACTGATTCTGGTGTGCAAGACGATTATAACTATCGCTGCTATGAATACCAAGATCAACTTCTTCTTCTTTTTATATAGACATGACTCTGTCTATTTTTCAGTGTGCCTCCAGTAAGTTCATTCCCTCGTTTCGTGGTCTTCCTACTGATCGTCTTTCTATTGGGGTCAAGATCAACTTAATCCTGGTTTTCGAATACTTGGATGTGGAGAATCTCTCAGAGGAGTGACTCTGATTTGAGTCATTTATATATATATAGAAGTGATCGAAAGGTATATAGAAGTCATCGAAATTGTATTATAGTAGTCATCTTTCCATAATGAGGTTTTTGGACTATGTTCCTGTGATAGATTTAGGCTTAAAATACTGGAGCTTTAAGGGTGTTAAAGTTTAGTTTTCATACTCAACCCATGCTTCTCTATTGGTCGAAATTCTTACACGATATTACAAGATTAGAGGTCAAAGAAATTTCTGGAAGAAAGTTTGTAGATTTCTATGAAGCTACAAGTTTTTAAATAAATTTAATTCTACTAATAGTATAGGCTTAGATTTTAGTGCAAGCCTGCTACTGTTAGACTTTGGCGTGACTGGGTGTGTTGAAGACTGAACTATCCTTATGGTACAGTCCAAATTTAAGAAATAGTACAATAAAGTTGCTTTATCTGGTCAAAATATATCCGTCCAAGGCTCAATAAAGGATTTATCCATACAAATATAACTCTATGATTAAAAATAAACCACAATTTAAAAATTAAAAATCTCCCTCAGATCTAAAGGTAGAAACGTCAAAAATAAAGTGTTTTCAATTGTTAGTTACTAATTACAGAGTTAATAAAAGACCAAGATCCCATAATAAAATAGTTTTAAACACTGAAACTCACCATTGCTTGTCAAAAGTCCCTTTCCCACTAAATCCTCCAACAATCGATAAATTATACTTTTCTGGTTATGTTTTGAGCTCGACAAAACAATCTATAATACAATATATATTTTATCGCAGTCAATAAAGGCGTACTCAAAAACTTACCTGTATATCGTCTGGAGCAATCAGATTGACGATGGCCATACCAAAGGCGTATTTCTTATATATGGGAAAGTAAGTCTTACATAGTTCTCTGTCTCTTTGAAAAATTTGTTCTGAATTTAAAAAAAAAAAATACTTTGTTCATATTACCGAAAATGTAATAAATATTTGTTTCATTGCTAAGTTACTTTACTGACTAATCGAAAACGACATTGGATTTGACTAACACTGGATTATCAAATGCCTTCGTAGATTAAAAAAACGACCTACGACAGCTCCTATCCTAGCCTATTTACGAGAAGATGGCCAATTTCAATGGATAAAATAAGCAAGGCTGGAAAAAATTATTGCATTATCAGAAAACAGCTCCTAGCTAATACAAAATTCCTAGAACAAATTGGTTCTTTCCTCTATAACAGAAATTTATAATTAGAACTGATTATATCGCTTTGCAGTGGCTAATAAATTTTAAAAGCCAGAATTACAAATTGCCCTGTGGATATGGAGACTCTATATCCACATGGATATGGACCTATATAAAGATGATCAACGCCAAGAGCTTGTTAGCCAAATCTCTGACGAGGTGGAAGAAGAACCTGATATACTCGAAAATGAAGTAAGACAGGCTATCAACAAGCTCAAATATAACAAAGCACCAGGTCCAGATATGATAACAGCAGAAATGCTTAAAGCCACAGAAGAAACCGGCGTAAAGTTACTTCATCTACTCTGTAACCAAATATGGCATTCCAAACAATGGCCTGAAGACTGGACAAAATCTACAATAACGACCATACATAAAAAAGGCAGCTTCCATAAATGCGACAATTATAGAACTATCTCTCTTATATCCCATGCCAGCAAGATAATGCTACATATAATCAATGAGAGACTGAAAACATTCCTTCAAAGAGAAATTCCACAAGAGCAAACTGGATTTACCAAAGGTAGAGGCACTCGAGAACACCTGCTGAATATAAGACAGATAATCGAGAAATCTAGGGAATTCAACATCCCACTATACATCTGTTTTATAGATTACCGTAAAGCGTTCGACAGGGTCAAGTGAAGACACATGGCGAATACTAAAAGAAGTAGGCGTACCACAACATCTAATTACGCTTATAACCGAACTATATGAACACACTACTGGATCAGTTAAAGTACTTGACACACTTTCGAACGAATTTCATCCAGAACGGGGTGTCAGACAAGGATGTATACTATCTCCACAATTATTCAACATATATGGGGAGTATATTATGCGAAGAGCACTTGAAGGATGGGAAAAGGGCATCTCAATAAATGGTCATAAACTAAACAACCTACGTTTCGCAGATGACACAGCCCTTCTTGCAAATAGTCAAAGACAAAGATCATGATAGTGAATAGACTACACAACAATCATCCACACATAACCACAATTGACCGGTTCGTGGTTGTGAGCCCATACTTATATCTGGGATCATTAATCACAAACACAGGGTCATTACAAGAAGAGATTAAACGTAGATCTGATCTAGCAAAAGTTGCCACAGCAAAAATGACCAAAATATGGAAGGACTGTCAAATTTCAAGAGCGATAAAGATGAGGTTGATCAACTGCTTAATATTCCCAATACTGACCTACGGATGTGAATCTTGGACTCTGAGACAATCGGAGAGAAGAAAGATAGACACCACTGAAATGTTCTGTTGGAGACGAATGTTACGAATTCCTTGGACCAACCGTAGAACAAATAGTTCAATTTTAAGAGAGCTAAAAGTTAGCCAACGACTCTCTAGTAAAGTCCATCTCCAACAATAAAAATATTTTGGGCATGTTATGAGAGCAAACACAGAAAACATGGAAAGACTCATAATACAAGGAAAGGTAGAAGGCCGAAGATCACGAGGAAGATCCCCAACAAGATGGATAGATCAAATTACAGGAATATGCCAAAGACCTAGGCATGAATTAAAAAGAAATGACCAGAGACAGAGATCTCTGGAGACGGACAATACACGACATCACGTCGACCACTACACTCCCCCTGGGGGGTCAGGATTGAAGAGAGAGATGGAGACTCAAACTAAAAAAGTTTACGAATTTGCTCGTGCAAGTTTAAAGTTTTAAAGTGATAATACCAAGGCCAGGCTTGAGATGTATGGTATAGGTATAAATTTAAAAATAGGTAACTTCTCAGCGACAAAATTATGATAGATCCCTCACGTGTATCCGGTAATTCTATTGTTGTCTGTTTGACAAAAGTCATTGAGGAGTCATCAATTTTGGACAGACATAATGAATTCGGATGAAAAATCAAGATTTGGATGCGTCAGGTGAAGGAATTAAAAAATTGGTTTTAGACAATGTCCCATTGAACACGCAAAGGTCCGGATTTGGACCCAATTCTCGGAGTTCGCGTGAAAAATTTTAGGCTCGAAAGATGTACTACCCTAACGGAACTAGCAAAAATTCTCAAGGTTTATGCCTTTTACATGAAAAAAACGCAATGGCGAAGACTATAAAAAGTCATGTGGTGATGGTGACCTTAAAA